TGCCCAAGGAGGCTGTGGATGCCCCATCCCTGCAGGCATTCAAGGCCAGGCTGGATGTGGCTCTGGGCAGCCTGGGCTGCTGGTTGGTGACCTGCACACAGCAGGGGGTTGGGACTGGATGAGCGTTGTGCTCCTTTTCAACCCAGGCCATTCTGTGATTCTATGATTCTGTGATTCTCTTCTTGCCCTAAGAAACATCCAGATATGAATGATTAGTGATTTAATCACAACCACAGAATCACAGAATGGTAGAATATCCCAAGGTGGAAGGGACCCATGAAGATCACTGAGTCCAGCTCTTTCCCATGGGCAGTGTCACTCTGTTGGACACTGCAGGCCAGGAGGAGGAAGGCTGGGCTTCAGAGAAGGAAATTCCATCTGATCAGGATATCTAATCCTCCAGGCTCCCTTGGAAATCCCAGCTAAGCACCTTGACTGCTGGTGCCTAACAAGCCTCTCAAGAAAAAAGACAGCAAACCACCAGGTTTTAATGATAATCAGCCTGGCTTCTTAGCACCTTCTCTTGTAACCTTGGTTGCTAGGAGGTTTGCATCAATACACAAAAAGGGAAGTATTAATAGAAAGAAAGAGCAGCTGATGGGAGCTCTGCATAGTGTAGGGGCTGCCCTTGGGGGCGTGCCAGCTTGCAAAGTCTTCCAGTCTGCACCTGCAGCCTTGCAGACCCCATTTGCTGCTCATGCAGCCACGTCCTTGTCATTGGAAAATCTGGGAAGAAAACTCTCAAATTCCAATGAGGCGTTAGAATCCATGTTAATAAATTGAAAAACAGCCTCAAAATCTGTTTGACTGCACCTGTACTGCTCACTGGGAGCATTCTGGAAATGGTTTGGGCTAAAGAAAGCTGCTCTGGGTCAAAACCAAGGAAGGGACGATGAATGAGATGTATGATCCATAGAGGTGCAGTGCCTAAGCTCTTATGCTCTTCTTTAACTTCTAGATGTAGCCACAGATCTGAGGAACAGATGGTTTTGAAATCTTCAGAGGCTTTGCAAGCATCAGATCCTCAGCCTTTGTAGATGTGCCAATCTGATTTTGGCAGCAGTTGGCTGGGTATGCATCTTCTCTTGGGTCCACAAACTTTGCAGGTTGTCTTGGGAGATGGCAAAGGCAGGGAGGAAGGGCAGGAAGAAGACACAAGTAAAAAGCCAATCTGGAAAGAAGAAATCTCTTCTTTGAGACCTTCTGGACTCAAGCCCTAAGTTCCAGTGGTCTCATGGTGTTTTTCCCCACTGGGACAGCTTGCATAGGAAGGGGCTGACTATCAACAGCCATGCCCAAGAGAAACATGGCACTGCTGGTTTAAGCACCAGCCCAACTTGGCTTGCTTTTCTCTCTTTATGAGGATGGTAAGCACAGGTGAGGAGCAGGCAAGACACACTTGTGCCCTCACTGTGGGGTGTTGCATGTACCAGTATGGCTGGGTAGGAACAAGGAGCTCCTGAACGGCTGCAGACAAAACCACTGAACCTCCCCTTATCCCACATTATCCCTCAGCTGTTCTGCTGGGGATGCCATGTGCTGCTCAACAACTGCTGTCATGCAAAGGCTGAGGGAGCGCAGGAGGAGCCCCGTCAAGCTTTTCCATCCCAGGAGTGCTGCCAATCCTGAGGAGACTCTTACAGAGCACCTGCACTGCAAAGCTCCCTTGGGCAGCATGCCACCATCCCCTTTTTACACACAGGTGATGGAGATGAAGCCTAATCCAAATGAATGGTGACTTGAAGATGAACACTAGCCCAAATCATGCTGGAGTGAGTGAAGGAGCTGGGAACAGGTCCCATATCCCGTTCTCCTGGGCTCTGCTTGGCCGTGGATGTCCCTCCAGCTAACAGAAGGCTTGATCAGGATCGTCTCACAGCGAGCAGCCTTCAGCTGTGTTTCGGGTTCCTCAGCGGCTCCATACTTCCACCTAGCGACCGAGAGCCTTCCCCACGTCGAAGAGTCATAGAATGGTTGGGTTGGAAGGCAACTCGAAGCCCTCCCACTTCCAAGCCCCGCCGTGGGCTGGGTGCCGCTCACCAGGGGAATAACTACAAACAAGCAAAAACAAAAAGTAAACACATGAGGTGTTGCTTTTTGAGCAGAAGTGATAGGACTTTTTTTTTTTTTTAATGGCTGCCTGCTGAATTTGAGTGACTGCTTGTCTTGGGGCAGAGCTGGGAGTAGAACTATCCAGGCCCTTAGGGCAGCAATTAGCCCTAATTACCTGGAGTCCTACCCACCTCTGCCCTTAGAGTCGGGAGCTCTTTTTAACCCCAGCCTTGCACTCCTCTGTTGGACTGATGCTATAGGTGTACAGCTTTACTGTCCTATCTGCAGTGCTATCTTCTGGCTGGAACTAGGACTCACGCTGGGGCTCAGTTTCCAGCCCTTTCTCCTGTTGCTTCTATCTGGGCTTTCTGGGGGCATCCTGGATCTGATCTGCCCTTTTGTTTGGGACTGTCAGTGGACCCCATTAAGAGCATCTGGCTCTGCCTGTTGCATTCAGCTGATCCTCTTCTTCAGTGCTTGTTCTTTGATAGCATTTTCTTTTCCGATAATTTCCTGAAATCTATTCTTTTTTCTAGCTGTATATGCAGTGTGATTTTAGCTAATAAGTAAACTGAGTGTAGACTATTGAGCAGCTCAGGGTTATCTTTCATTGGGCTCCTGTAATCATTGGCTGTATCCACATGAAACATCAGGTCTTGATCAAAAACAAACCCCGCACCACTGGTTCCATGGCTGGGCAGAACTCCAAAATTTCCATGAAGGTTGACTGCCCACGATTTCGTGCTACTGCCTCTTTGAATCTTTTTCATTTCCCTTTGGGGATGAGGTAAGAGCATGCATACATTCTGCTATTATTTGACTGGTGTGTAGTAACTCATTAAACTGTAGCTATGCTGTTGTCTGAAGTCTTGGTGTTAGCTTCAGTGGAAACTTCCATGAAGGCACCTGTACCAATGGAAGGCCACAACAGCCTGCTTTGTTTCTGTTGGCTTCACCAAAAACTCATTCTTCTGTCTGGGCTTCAAATGGATGGGTGTAGAATGTGGGAGTAGGTGTGATGCTTGCAGCTATTCAGGAACTGATGAAGGCTGAGCTGGATCTTCCCTTCAGTCAGTGGAGACATGTGGTTCCATAACCCTTCTTTCTACTGCAGTGTGAGGATCCACAGAGGAACAGGTATCTGAGATGTGATAGGAGGTCTAATCCAATCCCCCTTGGGCAGAATTCTAGCCAGACTGACACTGCTGGGAATGCAGTGGAAAATTTGAATTAAAGAGTGTACATGGAGAGCTCGAAGTCTGCTTGCTGGGAAAGGCACTCCCAGGCTGGGTATCAGCATATCAAGAAACCATTCAACCCATTTATGTCATGTGTGGGGGGAAAAAGGCGTTAAAGGCCTTGATTATCCTCCTGTTGGAGAAGTCGGGCATTCAAACTCATCAAATGGCTTAGTTTGGGAGAGATCTTAAAGATCATCTAGTTCCAACCCCAAGGGAAGAATACTCCAGGTTGTTCCCATTGTGGCTGTCAAAGACTCGCAAGCAAATGGTTAACAGCAGCAAGTAGCTTAGGTTAATCATTAAGCGTGCCCAATGGACAGCTCTGAGCTGTCTGTAATGAGTACTGCTGAGAAACGAGTTGGGTGGGTTTCAGCACAGCCCCAATTTGTTACCCAGGCAGGGACTGACAGAGCTTCCAACCAAGCATTGTGGGAGAGCCAGTATCCAAGGAAATGGGCAGTTACACTATCAGAGCCTTCTTGATTGACTCATCTGAGGAATGGAAGGACAATAACGAGGATAAGGTAGGTCATACTTACAGTCTTGATAAGGGCAATAAAAATAAGCCTAAATGATATTTTATAGGACGACTTTGAAATACCAGGTTCACACACACATCAAGGCTTTGCGCGTGACCCCTAGAAACTGAATTTCTGTTACAAGGTGCAAGAAATCAGGTTGGGTAATTGCACCATTTGTTGTGGTAAAAGCAATAGAAGCATCATTGCTAGTCCATGGTTTTACATCTCTGCGTTACTCCAGTCTAATGATTCAGAGGCTTGGATTTGAGAGGAGGATTTGATGTTGAATGCACAGATTGCTTCTGTTGGTTGGCCATTTGTACCAGGTGTGACTCTGAAATGCATGTTTTTAATTGCCACAGTTGCAGACTGTTACGGGACCATTTACCTCTTAGCTGCTATCTTTATGGTGATGGCAATGGCAATGTTTTAAGTGGTGATGGAATCAAGAAATAAACATTTGGTCTTGCTTATAGCCAGGTTTCTCCATCGTAGGGGACTCAGCTGCAGACTTGGCTTCCTGGATGTGTGCTGTGGTTGTGTTAAACCCATCTCAAATCTCTGCAGAACATATTATTTCTTCCTAAGGGAGAGAAGGATGCTTTAGAGATCGAGTAGTGTCTGCCTTCAGTGCTCAGTTTAGATCAGGAGAGAGCTTCTGAAGCAAGCCCAACAAACATGGTTTGTTTCATGCTGTCTCAGTGGAAAAGGCTGAAAATCCTTCTGGAGAAAATTAAATGAAATTATGCACCAACGAATTCTCCAGTCATTAATAGGTGTTTGATCTTTATGATAGTGCTGGGTGCAGCAGGTACTTAGGGTGGACATTGGGTCTTCATCACAAGTTTTGTTCTATGGATGTGATTTGACTTGGTTGTGCAATAAATGTGGGCATGGCTGTTTTCTAGCTGTTGTACTCTTCTACAGTATCACTGACTCTAAATCCTGTAATTGCTTTCACTAATTCCTGTTTGCACCGCTTAATCAGCCAGCATCATGAAATATGGCCCCAGCACAGAGAAGACCAACCTTGGTTGATTTTTATAGTGCTTTCTCTGTAACTCCCCATAGCCTGCCTTGTCTGCTGTAACAAACCATTGCTCCAACAGCTCTGCAACGTGATGAAGGATTTAACAGATGGGATTTATTTTAACGTTACAGAAAAGGTGCTAAGGTCCTGAGCTGTGAACCTGTGAAATCCCCGTCCAGGTTCCAAGATGAACCTATGGAGACCATCTTTTCTGGTGTTCTTTGCAGGTGAGGACAGAAGTGTTCTCTAACGACACTGCAGTACCAGTGTCATTGGGTTGGGCACAGCCTGATTGCAAGTGGGATGTGCAGAAGTATCTCTAAATGCTGTTGGATGTTATGGGGCAGTGACTTCAGCATGCTGGAAACGATCCACCTTTTTCAGTGGCCGTTCATGGCATTCCTCCATAGTCATAGATTTCATCTCCTAGTTTTCTACATGTCTGGGTAATTGTAGATTGTCCCTGGCTACCTCTGATGTATGTTGGTTTTCTTTTGCTTGACCATAATCATACGATTGTTTAAATGTTGAGTTTGTGATGCAAGCAAGTCCAATAGCTCTCTTTAGACAGGTGAATACAGGCGTTAGGCGAATTTACATTGACCTGATGAGATGGAACTGTTTATAGAATCGCTATGGTTGGAAAAGACCTCTGAGATCACCAACCCCAGCTCACCAACCATGGCCCTCAGTGCCATGTATCCATGGTTCTTGAACACCTCCAGGGATGGTGACATGGTCAGCTGTTGGTTTGCTTCCATTAGCGTCAGCAAATGAAGGCCCTCAAAAACAAACAAACAAACAAAAAAAAGCCTTAAGAATTTGATGCCTTTCTGGAAAATGTGTACAATAAGTTATTTGTAACTTAATAGCATGAAGTAGGAGCTTCATCCTATGCTTCGTTCTTCATCCTGTGCTTGAGGGCTTTTCCAAGAGAGAGGTGGGCAAGCTGAGATGGAGGAGGATGTATGGTATATTATTTGAGGACAGTCTTCAGAACTGAGCAGACATTTTTCTAAGAGCTGGAGGAATGAGCATAAGGCTGCTCGTGCTTGTTTCAATTCTTGAGGAGGTCAGGAGGTTCAGACTGGCTTAGTTAACAGAGTTCTGAAGGCATCAAAACCTCAATGAGGGGAAGGAGGAGTTTTACACAGGGAGAGGCAGTTCCCTGGAGGTGCCCAAGGCCAGGCTGCATGGGGCCCTGGGCAGCCCTATCTGGTGGGGGGCAACCAGCCCATGGCAGTGTTGAAATAAAATGGTCTTTAAGGTCTATTCCAACCTAAGCCATTCTAAACAAGGGAAGGGGATGAGCAATCCTAATTTGGATGTCCAAAGGAAGGAAGGATTGTGGAGGCTGGAATCACAGAAGGGCAGCTGCCAGATCACTGCGCCTTGTCTTGAGTTGGATATTTCCAGTCTTTGCATTAAACCTCAGCCTGACACAGCTGGGTTGTTTTTGCAGTGACCTCTGAGGGACTGCTCACAGAGCCCCAGGAGGGCAGTGTTGCTGGAGGAACGTGGATTACTGTCACTCTGGATGGTGAGTGTTCAGCTCTTGTAAACTCTTGCCAAGTATATATCAAAGTAATGGAGAAGCAGGTCTGAGTTCTGAGACTTGTGGTCGGAATGACAAATCTTCAGTACCAGTCACATAGCTGTGGCATCCAGAGCATGAAATCAGCCTGCAGTTATTACTTCTTAAACTATTTCTGACGTTTGCTTGTTTTCAAATTGTAAGAGAAATCAGATTTCTACCTTATTTTTGGATTCCTGTAGAGATCATAGACAGTTGCAGGGGTTCAAAGGGACCTCAACAGATCATCGCATCCAACCCTCTGCTAAAGCAGTTCCCTAGAGCTGGTTGCACAGGAATACATCCAGGCAAGTCTTGAGCAGAGCAGATCCACCTTACAGCACAAGAGTACTTGAGATGCTTGCTAGCAAAACCATGCGAGACATCAGCAGCTGCAAGTACCATGTGAAACTATTAATTTTACAGGTGCTTTAAGTATCTATGAGCATGATGGTTTGTTGGTGTAGGTGGTTAAGGAGACTGAAACTGCTGGCAGCTGTCAATCTTTGCAATAGAATATATTCAAAAGCGTCTGCACCTTGTGACTGGGTGTGAGTGGTCCTGTCCTCAGAGCTCTCCCCTTTGATTTTGACTCAGACTCAGCATCCCATGAGCTAGAACATCTCTCTCCAGCCAGCTGGCCCCACCTGGAGGTGTCCCTGGTGAATGCAGACCTGCCCACGTTGCCGTGTGATGTCTCTCCTGTGTATTTTGACTTATCCATCATAAGATGTAGAACAAGGTATGATCCCTGGCTATAATATTGAATCTTCTGGTTTGGAGAAGACCTTTAAGAAGACCTTCAATTATCAATATGACCTATTCAGTCCCATCACTTAGCACATGTGCTAACCCCCCTAGTGCCATGTCCACATCTCTCTTAAATACCTCAGGGTTGGGGACATCCTCCCCTCCCCTGCCCAATGTTTGATACCCTCTCCATGTATGAATTATTTCTCATATATACAATCTAAACCTCTCCTGGTGAGAACTTTGCCGTGTGTCTGGTAGAATCCTTATTGTGTTGAGTCTGCACAGGCACTGTTTCTGCACCTGAGCACCTCCTAAGCTGTTCTGCATTTATCCGTGCAATTTAATGAAGTGCTAGGCTAATTAATCATGTTGTATATGAATCAGGATGGCCTAGGTTGGAAGGGACCTCAAAGATCATCAAGCTCCAACCCCCATGCTGAGGAGAACAAACTGAAATTCAGCCTAGGCTCAGATCTTCAAAACTCTGTAGACAGAAGCACAGCACCCAAGGAAATCTGATGTCCTTGCTTGCCCAAGATCACAAAGAGAAGCTTGTGGTGAGAAACAAATATGGCTCTAAGCAGCAGCTGGGGAATCTAAGATCCCCCTTCTCCAGCCTGTCATAACTTAAAGGATGTTGTTTGACTAGCAGACTAATAGTGCCTCGAGAGCCAGTTAGGAGCAAACCTGTTGGAGTTCTTCCATCTCTCACTGCTGTGATTTGTTTGGGGGTTAATTCTACTGAACGCTGTGCTGTGAAACCATGTTCACTAAGGATGTAGTACTAATTTACAAACCAGGCTTCTCTGTAAATCTAGGCAGCCTTGGGTTGTTTTAATATTAATGAATTAAAATTGTTCATTAGTATTAATGAATGCTAATGAGCATGTGTATGTGCTTTGCATTTACATACAATGCGAGTGTATGTTCTGCTACAGTCCTATTGCCTTCTGCACTTAAGTACAACTTTTCCCTCTGCCCTCATATTCACTTTAAAACTGTAGTTCCAGAGTCTGGGTTTGCGTGCAGAGTTTGTGTTCATCACATGAATGTAGTTTGCTCTACCAAAGCTTCAGTGAAGCTGTTTAGAGTGGTGACCCAATGAAGGACCCTTTTACCTTGAAAATAACAACTCCATCTGTATAAAAATAATATAAATATTTTTCTTTTTCTCCTACCTAGGTCTTCACCCCAGGAGGGTTTGTACTATGTGGAGGTGAGCTTTAAAGGATGCGTGATTAACAACCTGACTGGGGTGGAGAAAGAAAACTATGCTTTCAAGGTAATCACCAAACAAAGATAGAAGTATGATAAAAGTTTCCGATACTGAAAGGAGTCAAGGCTGGTCTCACAAGGCTTGTATTAAAGTAGCATCTCTCACAGTGATTGCATGTCAGGACATGAAGCTAAGATGCTCCTTGTGTCCCTTAAAATTTGAGCATACTACATTCAGTGGTCTGGCATTGGACGGTCTATGTGACCTGAGGTCTTTCAGAAGCGAAAACCTGAGTTAACCTATCTGTGCACTTCAGCCACACAGTCAGAAAGACCATCTTGTGGGTTTGTTTTACCCTTGTCCAGAATTAGTCATGCTTTCTGTGACTCTCATGGCCTCATGGCAGGATTTGCCATTTTCAACTAAACGAGTTTGTAAGGGTGTGCATGGTCTTGCTAGCACTGTAAACATAAAAAACAGGAAATGATACTGTGCTTCCATGGCTTCTCAAGGAGTGTGGAGTGAGGTGGTGCGCTCAGCTCTTGTGGCTGGAAGTACTCTAATCCTGTCTGAGGCCTTTTGCTGGTTGCAGTTGCTCATACTGCTGCAGAGTGGTTAATATCATAGAATCACCAAGGTTGGAAAAGACCTACAAGATCATCCAGTCCAGTGGCTTGCCTATCACCAATAGTTCCCACTACAGCAAGTCCTTCAACACAACATATAAACATTCCTTGAACACAGTATAGTCATAGAGTCATAGGCTTGGGTTGGATGGACCTCAGGATGTCCAACTTCTTGCTCAAAGGGGTTGGCCATGAGTTCACCACTAGTTTCAGAGTCTCCTCCTTTGGAGATATCCAAGACCCAACTGGATGCCTGCTTTCCTGCGTAACCTGCTGTGAGGAACCTGCATTGAGGAGGTTGGACTTAACGATCCCCAGAGATCCTATGCCTATGGTTCTGTGATTCTTGGGGCTTTATTAAGAGCAGTTATGACGTGATGCTGGGGCTTCTTGCAGAGCAGACCCCTTAGCCATGGCTGTGCACTTCAGGATGAGGCCTTGTCTGTTCAGAAGTCATGTTCCCCTTTTGCAAACTTTGAGTATCAAGCAAGAAAGCCCAGCATTTCAGTAAATTGCACATTAAAACCAAAAAGTCATTGGGGGGTTCAGCTAGCTTAGAGAGCTGATGAAAAATCACCAGGGGATGCTGTTAATGAGACACATTGCAAGCTAAATAAAACACAATGTGTCTCTTTGTTTTGAGACTGGGACCTGGGAGCTATGCGTATTAAAAATTAATTTTGCCTCTGCAGTGGATTGGAAAAGCCTGCTGCAGGCAGCAACAAGTCTGAACGGCTCACAAGACTTGTGTCAGCTTGTGGCCTTCTTTTGTGCTGGTTTTGGCTGATTTCTTTGCACTGGCTCCAACCTGTGGTATGGGCTTTGCTCCTCTGCGGTGACCATAACTGGAAGGTCTGTGGCTACTCATTAATTTTCCTTGTGGCCATAATAAGGAAATAAATATACTGGGCTCTGGTGGGGTTTGAGGAAGGTCTGAAAAAATATTTGCAGTGGCATTCTTGATTTGAGTTTGGAACTCAGTTGTTTATGCTATTTGTTTAGTGACATGGTGAGTGGGCATGAAGGTGATGGTTGGATTAGGGGCTTTCGGTGGTCTTTTCTGACCTTAATGATTCTCTGATTTATTGGACTGACAGCAGCATCTGTAGGTACAACTAGAAAGGACTCAAGATGAAGATGGGGGAGAGAGATGTGATGAAGTTATTAAGAAATGAATGATTGGGTGGATAAGGACAGGCTAAGTGCACAAGGGGAACTTTTCTTTTTTTTTTTTTTTCTTCCTGTAAGGTCAAAGAAATCAAGTAGTTGATGACTTAGGATCAGGATTCAGCCAGCTAATAATGTAGCTGGCCAGTTTTATGGAGGTATTTACAGCAGAGAAGCAGATGGATTTTTGCAGAATCTGAACAAGTCAGATGCCTTTATAGATCATCTGAAGCCCAAAGTACCTAAATACCTTGATGTATCTGACCTAGTGTTAATCACTTCCAGAGTGCAGAATGCTGCACAGGCAAAAAACAGCATTACTCTTCCATGTCACGGCAGCTATCTGAGGAATAAGGCTTTGCAAGGTCTTGTTGCTTAAAGCAAGGCTGTGCCTGTAATAGTGAACAAGGTGGGCAGTGCTGGAGTCCACGTCCAGCGGCTGCTGATGGTGAGCTGATTCCATGTGAGTTATCAGCATGTGGACGGCCATGAGTACTTCTGGCCCCTTGGCAGATGAACAGTGCTCTTGCACACCGCTGTTTGAATAGGATTAGTGTTGGTGTAGGCAAAAGCTCCTAGAGTCAGTTTCTTAAAAACAAGCAAAACGCTTGCAGATTTTTAGCGTAACCTGGAAGAAGAGGTCAGCAGGGCTTCTTAAAGGTGCAGCCTAAGTTAGTGCTGGGTTTGGTTGTTTATGTCTCAGCTACTTCAGGATGCTGAGGACAGCCTTCTTCCACTTGCAAAGGCCTGCTGTGTCTAAGAAGATTGCTTGATAACTGCTTACTATTAGGCTTTGTTTTTGGACAATGTAGAACCCCATAATCTACTTCCTTAGTATTTCCTTTCCTTTCTTCCTTAGTATTTCCTTTCTTCCTTAGAGGACAAGGAATTCTGTCCTGTGGGCACTGTGATGTGTTATACTGTGTTAATAAGGATCAGTGTAAGTATTTCCTTGGCTACACTGTTTAAGCAACTGATAGGCTCGTTAAAGCCTAGCTGAAGTTCCCCAGTACTGTGAAGCAGAAACAGCTTTGAAGAGTATGCTGCTGGTGGGAAGAATTATGCCACAATGCTAGGTGAAATGAAGGTCTGAAAGAACATGGCTTAGAAATTTTGGTAGTGTTAAACCATATCTTCTGGGACTGACTCAAAGTAGACCAGACAACTGGAGCACAAGGAGGATGCAGAAAGAGCAGCAAGCCAGGCTCTGAGCACAAAGGGGGAAGAAGTTGTTCCATTCTCGGAGCAGGATTCTGCTCTTAAGATCCAGTCCTGAAGCACGAGTCTCTGCAGTGTGGTTGCCAACTGTGTTGTGAACAGTGCGTAATCAGAGCTTGTTGGGCTGCTGTGAGAATGACTGCTGTTTAACTACAACTTTCTACTTGCAGTTTTCTGCTCTGCAGACTCCTGTGGTTTACCAAATTAGCCCGCCATCTGGCATCCCAGGTAAGGGACCTTTCTTCAGGCTGGGGACCACTTTACTTATTATTTGATGTTCCATCCCATCTTTATTATTATTATGAGAGTTCTGTCTTGCTGGATTTAACACAGGCTTCTTCAGAATGTAATGCCCAAGCTCATGCTGACCAGGAAAATGGGTTTGCAGAAGGGGTCTGTTCCCCTGCATACAAGAGAGATGGGTAGTGCACTTAATTGCTCATCAGTTGAAGTCCACCCTTGGTTTTAAGTGTTTTCAGGTGGAGTTCAGCTCTAGATTTGCATGCCTTGTAGTACAGTGTGTGTATACAGGTTTCTTAGCTGGATGCTAGGCTTCCAACATAAGTAATGCCAAGTGTTCAGCACTAGCTGAGAAAAACAAAGCTATGTGAAGCTTGCGGATATGCTGCAGGACCAGAAAGACTCATTCCTTTCTGGACCCTCAGAGTGAGGATAGGGCGTATCAGATGATTTAAGCTATCCGTGCTGACAGCTGAATTAACCTGGTACCCAGCATAGTCGGTGGAGTGTTGAGAGTGATCCAACTGGCCAGATGGTGGTGTTGGGGCGAGCTGAATTGTCCTTTCTGATCACACTGACCACACGAATTAGGTCTCTGCTGCCTATGGTGGGCTCAGAAAACAGCAGACATCACAGGATCTACGTATTTATCGACAGTGTAGATATGCAGGTTAAAATTTTGCTCTCTGAATTGATTTTGGTTTAAACTGCTTATTTGCTGTAAGTTTTCCTTTGTTGTACTGTATGCTAAACTTTGATATTGTTGCTCTTACTTTAGACCCTGCTTTAAGGACTTAATTTTCAGCACGCGTTCTAGTGCGTTGAATAGCTTGTCCTAAAGGTGAAGTGGCTGCTGTGCACAGCACAGTGAGAATGGACTTTATGCACTAACACCCAGTGCATGTTAACAATGCCCCTTTGGCTGCTTTGTGGTGTTCTGCAGCAGCATTTGGTTGATAAATGTTGAGGAAATGCCTTCAAAGTCAAATACCAGAGTTTTGCTGGGGAAAAAATAATAACAATTTTTTTTCAGTGAGAAAGGTGTGTTTTGGGCTAAGGGGAATTAACAGTCACCTTGAACTTGGATAGAGAGTAGATATAGGTGCAGCCAAATGGGCACCTCTCTGCATTGCTTTGCAAAGAATTTCTTCTGGAATTTCTTTTGTTCAGCTCACAAAATCTGCAAATGTAAATACCCCACTTTTAAAAGACGCCCTTCTGCTTCCATTTCCTCTTCAACAGGAAATTTAATAGAGATCTATGGGAAGACAATTGCTGGGAGATATGAGACCCTGGACTTCAATGTGGATTATATTGATGGGTAATTATATATGAGCTGCTACCTGTCAAAGTCCCTCTAAATTGTTTTCTTCTACTGCACTCTGCAAGAACAATAAATTGCAACCAGTTGGCCCAGAATTGCCATTTACTGCTTCTGTGCTTTATTGCAGCTCATGAGTTGGGCTCCAGCAAACTTTGTTAATCTAATTGCAACTGGTCCATTAAGCTAGTTGGTTTGTTTACTGGCAGCACAGTCAATCACAGCTCAGTGTGAATTTACTGTAATTGCATCTGGTTGCTGTAGATTTTATTTTGGCTAGCAAATTAAAATTTAACTAATTAAAATAATGTCAGAATCTTCAAGTTAAATAAATTTTCCCTTCCATTTGCATTTCTAGAAATACTGTTAGTTTGAAGGAGACACTCTAGTGAGTCACAAGACAAAAGCAGAAGTGTCTGGGGGCAGAAAGCTTTGTTTTTCCATTGCTTCAAAACCTCTCTGGTCACTTCTCTGTTTTCAAGGGAGGTTTGAATTTGTGTTCTGCTGCTTCAAGGGTTGCACTCAACAGAGCAAAGTGGGTAGACTTTCAAAATTTTCTTGAGAGAAAGCAGCATAAACTTGACCAGTAAATAAATGTTCACTGGAACAGGTTGCCCAAGGAGGCTGTGGATGCCCCATCCCTGCAGGCATTCAAGGCCAGGCTGGATGTGGCTCTGGGCAGCCTGGGCTGCTGGTTGGTGACCTGCACACAGCAGGGGGTTGGAACTGGATGAGCATTGTGCTCCTTTGTAACCCAGGCCATTCTGTGATTCTGTGTTTTTGCAACTAGCCATCAGGTTGATTGGAAAAGTTCCTTGCTAAGCAACTCAGCTCTTTGCCACTGCGAATGAAAGCCCAGAGCAGATTCCTGCCATACCTGTTGCACCCATTTATCAGCCCTCACTGGATACACATTAGCATCCTTTTGTTTGATATTCATTACTGTTTTACCTGCCTCCAGTGGACCTGTGAAGTCTTCTATTTGTGGGAAGACAGGCTGGTGTGCCTGCGTGCTCTACTGCTGGATTACTCATTTACAGCTCGACCTCCCCATAGCTAAAAAGGAAATGGCCTTGGAGTCTTGGCACACCAGGCAGGTTTACATCCCGGTTTCACATGAATACTTTGCCCATTTTTGGTCTGTGTTACCAAGTATGTTCCAGGTGGAGACTTGCACTTGACCGGAGCCATCTGCCACTCAGTAACACATATTCAGATGGAGGAAAAAAAACTTTTTTTTTTTTGTGATGTTCTAAAAGCATCACTTTTGTCTTTTCAGGCTTTATATAGCATACAGTGGTCCAGGGATGAATTAATCATTTTTGCAGCAGTGATTATTTTTCTGTTCATCCTTAGTAGCATTGCAGATGGAAACTATACGCTCATAAGAAAGAGGCAGGAATGTGTTTACTGGTGCAATATAGCACTTGAACAAGGCTTGCTTTTGTAACTAGGATGGTGAGGAGTGGACCTCTTTGCTTTCTGAACTCCTTGAAACATGGAGGTAAAAGGAGCCAGATGCAGCTGGAGCCACTCCTAGTCATGGATTTGGTCAACTGTTTGAGGGCACAGTCAACCTGACGTGTAACCTTTCTGGAGCTAACAAATCTTAAACTTCTAGTCATTTGATGAGGATTTGCATTGGTAGGGAGCCTCTTGATGGTGAGGTACAAGGGATCTTTGCATAAGGGTAACTCCAAGAGTGTTCCTACTCAAGGGGAGATCCTTTCATGCAGTTGGCTGCCATACAGGAGAGCTCAAGGGGCTCTTGGGCTGCTTAGTACTGATAGGGTAAGGTGGTTGACTCGTAGTGTTTGATATATGCTGACCACATATCTGCCATCAGTTCTTTCACCCTGTAGTTTAAGGCAGGTCTGTGGTCACTGCAGGTCTTGGCAAGACCTTCAGTGTTATCAGTACTGTGTTCACTCTCTGCCTGAGCAAGGCCTGGGGCATAACAGCCAGGCTGAGGGAGGAAAATGAAGGGGAGTACGCTGTCACAGGTGCGGATCCTAGCAAAGTGAAAACCTCACGAGAGGTTTTCAATTACTTATTTGCCTTAATTGCTTTTACCTCTTCAAGAAACATTACCATCTTTTGCTTGTTATACTAATTACTGTGAATTTATTCCTCCTCTCTAGTGGAAGTTTTTTCCCCTATTAGGTGGGGATACGCGAATTTCATGTTAGGAATTTGACTGTTTTGAAGTCATCTATCTTTATAATATCTTCTGTTGATGAAATAAAGAAATGACTGGGCTCCATCTTGAAGCACTGTGGTTGTACCAGCCCAGTGCTGTATTGTGCTGCCTGGTGCTTCTGGAAGGTAAGGGTCTATCTGGGACCCAAACTGTCAATGCTTTGTGTTGCCCAAGGTTAGCATTGGTGTCTTGAAGGTGGGTTTTATCATGATCCTTATGAGCATGCAGTATTATCATGATCCTTATGAGCATGCAGTATTTAGTGTGCTTTACAGGGCAAAGTGTGTGTGTGTGTATGTATATATATATATATATATATATATATATATATGTATGTGTGTGTGTATATATATGGAATATATATGAAGGCAGCTCTGAAAGTAATGCCTCCTATTTTATCATGTTGGTCTATGACGTCAGAGGCAGATGTTGCTGGTATGGCAGTAGAGTTTGAACCTTCCTACCAATATCTCACTGCATTTTATTGCTGCGTGACAGACAGCAGCAGAGGGACAATCTGACAGAATAGCATCTGACATGGAAGTACATATGAAGTAAAGGTGTTTCACTGAATTCTTCCATGCAGAAAAAATTGCACCCACTAAAACTCATTGATGCTTGCTAAGTGTTTATGGACCAGTGGGTGTGAGCACAGTGAGGGGTGGGTGGTGTGGTTCAGCAATGGAAACAACAACACTGGGTCACCTCTGCTGGTGCAGATTCTTGTGGGCATGGAATGCAGGCTCTTGTTCATCTCTACTGAAAATGAATGGTTAATGCTAGCAATTGTTTTCAAATTAGCATTTTGTAGCTGAGAGTTGGCTCTGTCAAAGTGTTATTGTGTTCTTTGTAGCTGTGATAGTTTCCACAGAAATAAATAGGAGGCATTGCTTTTGGAGCAATCTACATATGCACAAATAATATATACACACAACCAAACAATCTGGGCTCATCCTGTTTTCTAGGTTAATAAAGGCTAGATACAAGTGAGGGAGAATTCCTGACCCTTCTGAAAATACTGGTTGCTGATTTTAACAGAATCACAGTTTCATAGAATCACAGAATTGCTCAGGTTGGAAAAGACCTTAAAGACCAACTGCAAGCTAACCATGCTACCCTAACTACCCTAAATCTAACAACCCTCTGCTAAATCGTGTCCCTGAGCACCGTATCCAAGTGGTTTTTAGGCACATCCAGGAATGGTGACTCAGTCACCTCCCTGGGGAAGCTGTCTTATGTCTCATCTTTCTTTCTTGTTTTCCCTAGACCAGCTGTCCTTGTGGCAGAAGGAGATGGATGGACCAGCCTCTGCTCTTTTGCTGACGGGCAAGCAGGAAACATGTCAGTTGTTGACCTACTTTGGGTTTGTGTTGGTGTAAGGCCTCAGCACGCCTTGTACATCAAGAGTTTCTTGGCTTTTCAGTGAACTTCTCAGTTTTGGCATAATGTGAAGAAGGACTGTGGGAAGCTGACCAGTCAGATAGAGTGGGTGAGGGCTGCTGGCTCGCTGTAGTTGCAACCCTCTGGTTATGACCATCCAACCAATTCTTTATTCTTCAAACAGTCCAGACTTCAAATCCGTATCTCTCCAATTTAGTGGTAAGAACATAGTGCAGGATCATGTCAAAGGCCTTGTGCAAGTCCAGATAAACAACAACACTTGCCTCCCCTTTGTCCATCAATGCCACCATTCCATCACAAAAAGCCCCTAGACTGGTCAGGCACAACCTTCCCTTGGTGAAGCCATGCTGGCTGTCTCAGATCACCTGCTCAACCCTCATGAGCCATAATGTGTTCCAGGAGGATCTGCTCCATGATCTTCCCAGGCACGGATACAAGGCTCACTGGCCTGTAGCTCCTCAGGACTTCCTTTCTCCCTTTCTTGTAAATAGGAGTGATGCTTCCCTTTTTCCAGTCAGTGTGGACTTTGCCTGACAGCTGTGACTTTTCAAATATGATGGAGAGTGGCTTGGCAACCACATCTGCCAGGAAAAGGGCTGAGGAAAAGGCAGATGCTGTTCTGCTTACCCTCTGCACTCCTGAAGGACAACACTGAGTGCAAAGCTCACTATCACAGGATGGTATTTCTATGCTGCTGTGGTGAGAATGTGACACAGCAAACACAGCTCAGCCCATATTTTTCTGGTGTGCTTCTCTTAGTGTCTGTGAGCTCTGGAAAAGCAATGCTGTTGCTACGAGGAAATGAGGAAAAAGCCAGTGAAATCAGTGCCAAGGCTTCTCAGTGAGCCCTCTTATTGGGTTGTAAAATTCCTCCTGCCTCCCAGGAGGGGAACTTAAATGCAAATTGTTCTGTTGATGATGGAACTTGTTGTTCCATGGCTCCCAAAGCTTGATATAGCACCAGCATAGCTTGCTTAATTGCTACTCATTCCTACTTGCAGACTAGGGGCATGCAGAGCAATTAAGAGAGGCATCAGAAAGTGCTGTCTTTTCTGGGAGCTTTTGCCTGAAAAAAAAGCCCATAGTCTATTCTACTGGTACAGTTGAGTTTTAAGAGTGGGAGGAGGTGTGCAGTATCTCTGGAAATACTCATTTATTGCCTATCCCCAGTGCAGACTGTGTTTTAAAGTTAGGTCCTCAGTTGTACAAATCAGAAGTTTGGTGCTGATCTAGGTCTGGTCCTCCGACTCTTCCACTGTTTAGAAATGGGTGAGTGTGATCACTTCACAAATCCTTGCAAACCAGGCTTGGAATAGGGTTTGGTTACCAAAATCCCATTGATATGCTTGGAAGTTGGGCTTTCAAATCCTTTTGAGGATCCAGCTCTTAGTGCAGCAAGGGAGGTGCTGGTTGGACCTTGGATATCAGGAAGAGTTTCCCTGCCCATAGGAGAGCAGTTCTGTGAGCAGCCTGCACGCATTCTCTGCAGCTCAGTGCCAACTGTGCTGCCTGCATTCCCCAAGCAGGAAATCCTTTCTGTTGCTGATAAGGAATGGGTTTAAAATGTGAAAACCACATATGTAGCCAACTTGTTCTGTATGCGGTTGGACGAATTATAGTTTAAATTTGTACAGATCAAGTCATTGTATCATTGATGTCCTCCTGACCTCCCCGAGCTGTTTTCCTATTTGATGCTGTTTCTCATCTTGCTAGCAATCTCTGATCTCCTGCTCAGACATCAGCTCCCTCTGTCCTATGTAGGTCCTCTCCTTCCAGAGGCATGGGTTTAAATTGCCCTTCTCGAGTTTAGAAGCCAAGGCTTTCTGCTCCAGCTCATATTTAAAATGGGATTTTTGCAAGTCACCAGTGGGGTCACCTTATCAAAACAAGGATAAAAGGTGCAAATTGGAGTGATGGGATGCATCGACCTAAGCTACCAATGGTCTCTTCTCCCTTGTTTCTAAAGGGAAGTGAGCATAACTAACCCAGATGTGAAAGCTTGCATTTTTTATTAGATGCTTCTCACTGTGGTTTGATTTGTTTTGCCCCCAAGGCTCATCAAAGCCCTTTGTTTCTCCACAGCTATTCCATTCACACAAAAGAAGGACTGGGAACCATGCAGTGTCGGGTGGAAGGGAACCACATAGGTTGGTGAAAGTGTTGGGGTGTGTGGGAGAGATCATAATTCTGCTACTCCTGCAGCTCTAGGGGAGCCATTATTTTTTCCTTTGTTATTTATTTCATCTTGTATGATGGGCTTAAGAGATAATGGGGGTCTTGAAGGAGATTCTCACCTTCCTGGCATGGCAAGTGAGATCGGATAGGATCCACAGGATCTGAAAGGAATTTTTGCCCTGATGTTCAGCTTGCAGATTCAGATATGTAAGAGCAGATCCACACAATGTAGTATAATCTAAGTCTGGAAGCTTCCTACTTTGGTGTTCAATTCAGTTGAAATGTGATTGAATATTGCCTCCAGACACTCCACTGGAAGAGAAGGATCTCCTGTAGGTCCTGTGCCACATCTGTCAATGCTGAGCAATTTCTCCAATACTCCCAGGGAATTTCGGGTGGTTCTTGAAACCTGTATATAAGCCACTGAATTCAGCCCCAGTTACATGTGGGAATAGGAATTTAGATGTCTTGAGTTGTGAGTTGAATCCTACTCCTGGAGCTTTCCTGAGGTGATGCAGCAGTAATGGATGTGCACCACATAAAGGCTTCCAGACAGTTTCAAGGGATTATTGGGTTTATTTTTATTTTTTTGCTTTTACTTCCAAGATTTTTTGGACTCTTGTGGTGCACACTGAGGAATTTCTTTCTTAAATTGCAAGCAGGTCAGCTGAAATCAACACAACTGTACTGTTATAAGAAAAGCATAAGGAAGAGAAAGGGGGCAGGATGTCTGGACAAGGTTTGGTAGGATGTCTCTTACTAAAGCTCTCCATGTTTTTGTCATAAAAGCATGTTTCTTTTCTCTCCCCTAGGGTCCCACAATGTCAGCTTCTCAGTGTTTAACAAAGGAAAGTGAGTAAAAGATCCTTTTTTTTCTTTTTTTTCCCCTATAGTTTCATACGGGGCACAGCTACATTTCTGAGTCCAGGATGAATGCGTAAAATTTAATCAAAACTTGTGTTTCATTCTTTAGATGTGAGGTTTTGGTGGTTTGAGAAGATGACCATCAGATTAGGAATGAAAAGGAAGTGTGTTCCTCCCCCAAGGCATCTCTGTGTGCCCAAAAGAGACATAATCCAAGTCCAACTGAAAATAAAAGTGTCCAACCTTGCCAAAGGAAGGTCTGCACTAACTGAAAGGGCCGGGGATCTCTAACACAGCTCTCTCTCTTGCAGGTCAGTGATAGACAAAGATGCTTGGCTCATCAGTGCCAAGCAGGAGCTTTTCTTGTACCAAACGCATTCAGGTATTGCACTGACCCACCCCACTGCTTGCACTGTGCCATGGCAGTGCCACTGTTGTCTAAGGAGGACACCTGGTTGTTGCTCTTACCAATGTGACCTCATTTTAACATGTAGTTCTACTGGTGTGGTAAGTTTGGTGGTGGGCTGACTACACAAAGCTGCAGGCCAAGAATTTCAGCTATCCCAGCTTTATATGCTGAGGTTGGGTGTGCTGCCATGGGCTGTGTTCTTAATCTCCAGTGAGTTTGTGGTCCTCTTAAGGATGTCTTTGAACACTCTTTCGGACAGCCTAATCTGAGAGTCAGCCAGGGTTTGGAATGGAGCTGCTGTCGTTATTCCTTGTATTGTCAGAGCACCAGCAGACTTGGCGTGTTGGATCCAAAGGGACTTTATATCACCTTCCCCCTTATGTCATACTGTTTGGTAAGAATGCAGTGCTGGCCATAAAACCTGTAATGTAGGCCTTTGGATAGGCTAGTTCACTTCACCAGCTGCGAGGTGATGTTCAGTCACTCCAAGAGTTGGGCTCTGGATTAAAGGCTGGTGAACAGCAGGTTGCTGCCCTATTATTTTAAAAAGATGTGGACCAAGACACTTAATAACTTTCACATGACATCTCTGGCTATGGGGAGAGGTCCCACCATGCTTTTGCCATTGTTTGCCTTTGTTTTGACCTGTCAAGGGGCTGAAATTAATATAATAATAGTAATTACCTTATAGGCTGTATCTTGGGAGCATGGTTCAGGAGATAACAATTTATTCTTTTTTTTTTTTTTAAAGAGTGTAGCCAATACGTAAATGGATTTTGTATATTGTTTATAGCATACAACTTGTTTCACCTATATATTCAAAACACTTTGTAAAAGAGGGTAATTTTATATCCTTACTTACAAATGGAATAACTATGTGTGGAATTAATTGTTAGCAGAGTACCTGGAGAAATGAGGTCTGCCAGGGCTTTCCAATAGGCAGTACTGCAGTAGCCAATAGTTAATGCTGCCAAAGTGAAGTTAAATGAAAGTGAAAAAATTGAGAAAAAAATAAAAAAATAAAAAAAAGAAAAAAGTTTGTTTAAATTAGGACGTGTGAGTGAAAAGTGAGTAAACTTCAACAAAGAGAAAAATAGGTTTCCAGTGTGGAATGGGGTGACTGTAATAAAGATGAGATCCTGTAAGATTCTCATAGCCCCAATGTAGATATCCACCATCTGTTCACCTCCCTGCATTCATCCCTGTGGGACAGCTGGAAAGTGCAGTGACACCTAAACCTATGGGCTAAACTGGGAAACGAATCGGGCAAGGTCAAAAGGATTAAAGCACTTAATGTCACTTTTCTTTCCAGAGCTCCTCAGTAGCACAGAAGATACGGTTTACAATCTGAGCATGACAGATGCAGTCACTGCTAAGTCACAGCCCAGGCATTCTAGTATTTCCCTGTTGTGTGGCCAAGTTACTGAGTGGTTCATTCCTGCTGTAATCTCAGCGGCTGCCGAAATCGCAGTGAAGGATCAGTGAAGCCTGTTTGATTCACAGGAGTTTGTTCCAGTTGGAAAGAGTGCAAGTGCACTGCTGGCTTTGACAGAAATAGGGCTGGGGTTCATCTTTCCTGCGCTTGTTTTCGGATCCCCCTTTTCCTTCCTCTGCAGAAATAGCCTCTGTGTTCCCAGCGACTGGAAGTCTTGCAGGAGGAACTGACCTCACCATTACAGGGGATTTTTTTGAGGAGCCCGTGCAGGTCACTGCTGCAGGTAACAGGAGAAATGAGCTGAGGGTTTTTGTAAACATGCAAAGCCCATTCGACCCAACTGGTCTTCATGTGCAGTGATAACATGGGAGTTGTACTCAGCATCAAGGAAAGTCTATTTGGGCTATGGGAAGGAATGATTTTTCTTGGTTGACAGTACAAATAGAGGCTTCTAGCAACTCACTGCTGTCTTTTGGAAATGAAAGTTGGTTTATTGATACAGGCTGCCCAGGGAGAGGTGGTGTCACCATCCCTGGAGGTGCTCAGGAGCTGTGGAGATGTGGCACTGAGGGTCGTGGTCATTGGGCATGGGTGGGGGTGAGCTGGAGTTGGACTTGGTGGTTTTGGAGGTCTTTTCCAGTTGTAATGGTCCTCTGATTATTCTGGAGCTCATGCATTTCCAACTGTCTATGGCACATTTGTCTCCTTTTCTTGCTGCCCAGGCGTCCCCTGTAAAGTCAAGCGTGTTTCTCCCCGGCAAATCATCTGCACCACTGAGGCTGTGGGCAGGAGCAGGATGCTTGGTGCCCCCCAGCCAGGTACAGTGTTCTCATAACCAAAAGTCCCAACAGACCAACACGCGTAGAAACAGAGAGAAATCACCAAGACACTTGTTTTTCCAGAACACTAAGCTAGTTTATCTTAGGTTCATAGCAAGGAAAGCCAAAGTTGAAAGCTCAGCCCTCTGGGTGCAGATGGGTCAGCCCTATAGAGCTGGGAAAAATGAGGGGGGAAAAGTATGAATGAATGCTTAGGGGACAGAATGGGGAGCTAGAGCTGCTGTAGAGACTTCTGGGTACGTTGCCTGGGTAGAACATTGCAGTGGGAAATTACTGTGCGCATAATGATGCTTGACTTTTGTTGACTATGGATCAGTTTGGTATTTCTTCCTCTGAGAGCAGTCATGTTAGGTTTTTTTTGGAAGTAGATTGGTCTTGGCAAATTTTTGTTCTTACCGGTGGAGGATTTCAAGGCACAATGAATTTCCTAAAATGGGAACAGTATTCTACCTCATAGAATAAAAAGTGAAGGAAAAAAAAAAAAAGTACCCCACAGATGGAGCCAATTTATTAATTGGTTATTAATTAGCCTCCTTGCACCACCAATTCTAGCATATGTGCTCTGGGATTGTTGTTGGCTGCTGCTGAGAACACTTCTCTTTTAACTTTGTAGGAAATCGGGGGCTTCTCTTTGAAGTCTGGGATGACGCCTCTGATCTGACAGAAGCAGGGCCTGGATATAGATGGCAGTTTGTACCTAGTGCCCAATCCCCAGTAAGATTTCTGTCTGCAGCAAAGCAGTCCTTCAGGTACTCGGTGATCTTAAAAGGATATGAAGCTGTGGCAATCACCTTTAATAGTGTAAGGTGTAGCAGTAACACATGACAGCTCTTTTCAGCAGAGCCTGACTTCATAGCTCCCACAAATCAAAGAAAACCCTCTGCTCTGAGGTCCTTTTGAAGCTCAACATATTCAGCAAAGTACTTTATTTCCTCCCTTTTTTGCTTTCCCTTGGTGTTCTGCTTGGCCTAGATGTGCTGTGAAATAGCATGAAAGAGATTGCTGTCAAGATAGAAGGGATTCTACTTAGAGGCTGCCTTGGGTTGGAGATTTGGTCACATCCATAGCCCTTGTTGGCAACTGCAGCCATAGATTGTCCTCAGTTCCATGAAGATGTTTGAGCCATGTTGGTGCCTCTTGGGATGTGCCTAGGAATGGCTTTGCAATGCGCTGGAAATTTCCATTTTTCTATCACTTCTGTACTTTTCTCAGTTGATCCTGAGAGATTTTGAGCCTTTTCCTGCCTGTTGAGAAATAAGACTTTGCTTGAGAAGAAACACATAGAAAAGATGTTGCCTACAATAAAGCCATGCTTATCTTCATGTTCTCAGTATACATGTGGAGGTTGGTTGCTGGGTGGTGGGGATTTTACAGTAACTCTTGTGTATGTTATGGGTGTTCTGCTTTTGCTTAGCTCCAGGCTTCGTGGATTTTTTGTGGCTCCTCAGACCAACAATTACACCTTCTGGATCCAGGCAGATGGTCCGGCATCTCTATACTTGAGTCCATCCCAAGACCCACAGCATAAGGTATTACTCTTAGCAGGGAGAAAAATAAAGCAGCCATGACAGGGAAGGGCATTAATTAAGGACATTTCAAGTGGGGGATTAGCCCAGCACGGATTGCCTCGTTGGTCCCTATTATGCATCTGTTGCAGAGTGACACTTTCTGTGCTGTTATTTGACATTTTACACCTGGCCCTATGGGCCATTTGTCTCATGAAACGTATGCCATTGTCTCTAGAGTCTTCAGATGTCTTTTCCTGCAGACATTTTCATCTGTGTTCCAGGCTTGTGAGCTAGAGAACTGAAGTCATCTATGAAAATCTACACGAATAATTGTTAGTGGGGCTTTTATGGACAACCATAAGAATTGTCTTGTTTATGTTGAGCCCTAAATTGAAGATCTTTGAGGTGATGGCTTTTTGCTGTAGAATAGGAAAGAATGTATTGAAACATCAAGCCACTGCTGTCAGCTCTGGTTTTGGAGCTGAACGTACAGTGTTTTGGTATTGTGAAATTATGAGTGATTTGATTCATCTGGACACAGGTGAGAATTGCTGCTCTCCCAGCTGGCAATTTGGAATGGTCTGGAAAGTGGGTGAAGAACTGGAGCGAGAGTTGGCAGCCAAAATCCCAGAAATTTGAGCTAACTGCTGGCCTGAGGTACTACTTGGAAGCATTGCATCATGGAAAGGCACCCAGCAATGGGATGAGAGTTGGAGTCCAGATACACAACACCTGGCTGAATCCCCAGGTGGTGAACAACTACTACATTGAGAGACATGAAATTCGGGCTCGTGCCTTGTATCTTCCAGATGTACAGGTCAGTGCTGGGTACTTGACCCCTGTTGGAAAGGGACTTTGGCCTAGATGGCCTCCAGAGGCCCCTTTTGACCTGAAGAATTTCATGGGATGTAGACTAACCCTGATGCAATGATCCTAATGGTAAAGATGTTGTCACGCATGGCAGTGCGTTCCCACTTTTTGTTGGCCTGCTGATTTCACTGATAAATACTGCCATGCAGCTGAAGGTGTTCGTGACTTTCACACTCACTGCCAGGTGGGTATTTTTATGGTACATTATAATTTGCCCACACGTAAAGTGCAGTCTGCTTTTGCCTTGCTTGTTACTTTGTTCTTGATGCTAAGTCATGACAGTTTGGGGGTAGTTTCACTAGTTGTCACTAGTTGACAGCACACTCAAAGGGTTTATGATCAGCTCCGTGTTGCAATTGGGTGATATAAACTTTCAGCTTTCAGTGCTCAATAGTGTGGAAGTTGTCATAGAATCCTAGAATAGCTTGGGTTGGAAGGGACATGAATGATCATCTAGTTCCAACCATGTTGCCATGGGCTGAGTGCCCCCCACCAGCCCAGGCTGCCCAGGACCCATCCATGGCCTTGAGCACCTCCAGGGTTGGGGCACCACAGCTCTGGGCAACCTCAGGGCTGTGGTCAGGACCATCTGTGGCTATCAGTCCGTCCATGCAGGTCACGTATCCCTCGTGCTCCTGGTTAATTTGGGAACAGGAACCCCAGGCACATGTCAGGAGAGTCCATGGAGAGCAAGCACAGTTTAAGAAGGGATTCTTTATTATTAAATTTATTACAGAAGCTTTGAAAGGGCAATGTTTGCTATTAGTTCCTCCTTGGTAGGAAATCCACATAGCAGACTTGACCTCTTTGTGAGAATCGTACCTGTTCTCATCTGTTTGTTTCTTCACTTGGCAGATGCTGACTGTGTCTGGCACGGGATGGTTCAGTATCTCCTGGAGCAATGCACCCCGCAGAATGATCCACACAAATTCCACTGCTCTTCAGGTAAGTGTCTCACCCTAAAGGATTTTAGACCTGGAAGTTCAGGCTCTGTCTGTACTGAGCTGAATAGAATCCATGCAGCTGGGACAGTGTGGAAGCTCTACTGGAATGAGCCAGGCATCACTGTACTGTGACCACTTCTCACTTTTTGTTTTTAAAGGTCCAAGCAGCAATAGAGGAACTTCTTTCAGTTGGGTGTGACATTGAGCCAACTGCTGCTAAAATACTCTTCCATAATGGCTTTGAGAAACAAGGTAGTAATGTAACAAATAAGTATTTAATGTGGGAGTCATTTTCTGATGTAAATGTACTCAAAACCTTCAACAGAAGTAATTTTATGCTTTTACTGGATTTATTTGTATTTATTCTAATGAGACATATTACATAGAACTAATATTTACAAACGTGATCGATGTATTAATAAGAGTCTTTCTGCAATAATTTTCGTGACAAAATCATACAGCAAGAAGCTGATCAGAGCAGGTTATGTGTCAGTGTTGGAACCATTAGGAGTACAGGCAGAAAAGACAAATCTTTGGGCATGTGAAATTATTCATGTTTCATAATGTGTGCTGGGGAAGCAGATCTGGAGCAGCCCAAAGCGACAGCTCAGGCTATAGCCTGATGATGAGTCTTTTGCTTTTGGTGCTTCCCAATGACTGAAAAAGTGAAAATCTGTGCTACACTTTACATTCAGGCAAGTGTTATATAAATAATAATAATAAAAATACATTTTTCCTGATACTAAAGTATTACATCAGAAACTCATTCCAATTTATATCTCTGATAGCAGTAAAATATAGTAAAATATGCCAGGAAGTCAATGATTGCCTAGGGACCTCACAGTACATCCTTGTATTCAGTGTAGACAGAGAGAACAGGACCCAGCCAGGAATATGTATGTTTGGTGACTGATTCATCTCAGCTAAGGAAAGGAATTAATTAAACTGGAGAGAGAGGGAAGCATTAGGCAAAAAAATGGAAACATCAACTGGACGTTTTTTGTCTAATTATGTGATCTCAAGTGCTCCAATCTTGCCAACAAAAGAGTTGTGCCAGGGGAGGATCAGACTGGATATTAGGAAATAATTCTTCTTTGGAATAGTGGTTGAACACTGGAATAGGCTGCCAGGGGAGGTGGTAGGGTCAGCATCCCAGGAGGTGTTCAAGAAATGTTGTCCTGAGGAACGTGGTTTAGTGGGCAACGTTGGTGGTAGGTGGATGATTGAACCGGATGAGATCATTTCCAACCTTGATGATTCTACAATTCTATGAAGTATTTTCAGCTCTATGACTTTTGTGAGCATGTTTTTTTCCCATGGGTGTCACTGTATTCAATGTATCTACCAGCAGTGATGTCAACAGCTCCAACACCCTTTGTGTCAAGAACCACGGTTGCCTCTTTTATGTATTTTCTCTTTATTTATATATTTAAGACTACTGACCTCAAATGGCAGGGTTTTTTTCTCTCATTTTGACAGAAAAGATGATTTATCAGTCTCTGCTGTAGGAAAAAGCCTCTTTTACACTAGAAATGAGAAATCCTAGCAGGTTTTTGGTAACAAGGTTGATAACTCAATGGAACAGAAGTTGAAAAAGTGAGGGCAGATTCTCAGCTGCTTAAATGTATCAATCTCTAATTTTGCCTGAGTGTTTTTTGAAAAGGAAAAGTGGTTTCAATCAGTCGTACTCTATCTGGCTTAAGATGGTAGCATTTTCCACAAGGTTTTTCTGGTCAGCATTGGAATGTAATGATTAGTGTAGCATGCTCAGGTTGTGGTTGGACTTGATGATCTTTGAGGTCTTTTGCAGCAATTCTGTGATCTATCCTGCCTTAAACTAAGGATCAATGCCCTGTGAATGTTCATAACTTATCTAGGCAGAACACTGAGAAGCAGAACTATTAGATGCAATTGTTTTGGACCTCTATTTTTGTCGTTTCCATGAAAACTTTGACTGTACCTGTTCTCTGAAGCCTTTTTAAGCCTCTCATCCTGTTGTTTTTTCCTTCAGGTACAGAAAACTCTGTCACCACAGAACGTGTTGTCTATGGAACAGAGCCCTTCTGCGGGAGGTTCAGTGCTCGCAGCCCAAGCCAGCTGGTGAAAGCTTCTCCATCATCTCTACAAATATATGACCTTACTGAGTACACATATGTAAGTGCCTGCTCTTGCTGAGTAAATTGTAATTATAAACACTGCTATGTTTACGTGAAAACATTTTTCTTCATTTTCTTTGCAGGTTTGTTTTGCACATAAAGGCCACATGAGCAACGTCCTTCATATCTCAGTGTCCTACACCAACCTTTCCTTATCTTCAGTGGAAAGAAACCTCACCTGCCAGTGGGATTTCAATGGCACTGACCCCACAAGGTATCCAGACACAGTGCACAGAGATGACATTTTCCAAAGTAAGAGGGTGTTCTGGGAGAATGGGGAGCAGCAAGTTCTTGTTTGTCTAAAACGATGGTTGGACTGGATGGTTTTATAGGTCTTTTCCAACCTTGGTGTTTCTGTGATTCTGTGCAAAATGAATTGTCAGATGGGGCAAACATGGATGCTCTGTCCCTGTGCTGACATACCTGGAATGTGCTTCTGTTGTTTTTGAGGACTATATGAAGAGATAGGCACATTACTATTTCACCATAGTAATGTACACTGGCCTGGAGAGTTTGTAGACATTAACTTCCTGTTTTGTTTTGGGTGGTGGTTTTTTTTTTTTTTCTTTTTTTTTTTTGCATCATTCAGTGGATTTTCTGATGTGAGATAAAAATGAAGTTGTTTTTTGTTGTTGTTGTTTTTGTTTTTTCCAGGGGACTTGTGGTACCATTAGAAAGTTGGTGTAGCTCTTGACTTTCTGTTTTTCAACTACAATATATGGGTGCAAAACGCCACTGATGGGGAGCACTATGGGCAGTGTGAAGTTGGGGGCAGGCACATCTTAAGAAAACATCTTAAGCAAACAAAAAATAATAATTAAAAAAAAAAAAATCCAAACCAGCAATCTGAAGAACTTCAGAAAGTGAAATTGGAATCTTAGCTTTCATAGAATCACAGGATTGCTTGACTTGGAAGAGACCTTTAAGGGCCATCTGTCCAGGTTCCTGCACTGAGCATGGACACCCACAGCTCCATCAGTGCTCAGAGCTCTGTCCAACCTGACCTTGGCTGTCTGCAGGGATAATCATCCTTCACATTTCTGGATTGGGCCTTTGTCTTCCTCACCCTGTCCCACACAGGCTAGCAGCGTCCCTGTACTCTTCCCAGGATACTTGTCATGCTTCCACTGCCTGTGCATGTTCTTCTTGCTCTCCAGTTTGACCAGCACGTCCCAGTGCAAACTTCAATCCTGATGTCACCAGCCAGTTCACTGCTGCTGGTGAGCAGTAGGTCCAGTACTGCATCCCCCTAGATGGGGCTGTCTATTACCTGGCTCAAGAAATTATCCCTGATACATCCCAGGAGCCTCCTGGATTACCTGCAGGTCACCATGCTATGCTTATCGATTGGGTCCTTTCATTTCTTTCTGTGTTCTGTAAGGCTGGGTGTGGGCTGTGTGTGTACCTCTGGAAAGCAGGAGGGGGGTTCACGTGACATTACTACATGATGGAAAGAAATAGGGACCTTGATTAGTTGTCTGGAATTTTCAAGGGGCCTAAGCTTGGTATTGATCTCTGTAGAGGAGGATGCTGAAGCAGGGATCTAATGCTTTATATCTTCCAGAGAGACTTGTTGAGTGATCAGATGTTGTGTGCAGGTAATAATAGCATCATCTGAGTTCATCTCCAAATTCATTCACTGTAACTACCCAGAAATAAAACAAAGGCTGTACCACCTTGGTGTCTTCCAGCTGGATGTTCTCCTGCACTGACCTCTGGACAGGGTGTGTGAGTCGCTCTGTGCCTCTCCAGGACCTTCTCATCAACACCCCGGTGTTTGTACATCAGATTGACTTGCTGAGCATCCAGCAGAAGGAAACCGCTGGATTGTTCTACCTTGATGAAGTCATCATCACAGACAGAGCTGTGACTGGTAAAGGAACCCATTTATTCTTTCCTGTGAATGTTGCAGTCACAGAATTGTATCACAGCATGGCCTGGGTTGCAAAGGCCCACAGTGCTCATCCAGTCCCAACCCCCTGCTGTGTGCAGGGTCTCCAACCAGCAGCCCAGGCTGCCCAGAGCCACATCCAGCCTGGCCTTGAATGCCTGCAGGGATGGGGCATCCACAACCTGGATGTTTCCGTGTTCCTTCATAGAAAGCTTTAATGACAGAGCCAGTTAAAACTATTTTGAAGGGGAAGGCTGTTTCATAACAGGCACAGATCTTCTTCCTTTTTTTTTTTTTTTATTAATTTTTGCAGAAAAAGATATCAAGAACTAATTGCCAAACATCAACACTCTTGTTTTATTTGGAAATATTTCTGTAAATGTAACTCTTGAATGCTGTTGCTCAAACAAAAAGCACTTCTTCCCCAAACCAACGAGATACCGGCTCTAAAATGGAAATAAGCCAGGCGTGATTACATCAGTTCTCCTGACTGGTGGATGGTGATGCTCTTTTTCCTTTCAGTTTCTCAGAGGGATTCCAAACCGCGTCGGCTGGGTGGGCGGATAATAGAAGCAGTAACTGTGGTGGGGTCTTCTCCTACTTACAATGTGTCCTGGCTGGTGTCTGGCTGTGGTGCAAGTCTGCCTCTTCTCTCCCTAAGGTAGGAGCAGTGTGATTCTTTCATATCCTGTAACAATCATTATGAATTCCCATGGAGCCCTTTATCATCTCAGAGGCTGTGCGGAGTAAGTCTGGTCCAGTGTAGAAATCCTTGTACTCCCTTTGGCATTTTCCTCTCTTTGTTCAGGCTCTGCTCAGATAGCTTCACTAAGATGTCCACAATGCACGTGAGATGCCTCTTCCCTAAGATGTCTGCAATGTTTTCAAGCTCCTAAATGGTGGACATAACTTGAACATGCATTGTAGGTGTCTTAATGAGGGTATCTGTCTCTGGTGTTGAGGTTCTGTTGTGTGATTGGCTGTCAGTTGCCTAACTAAAGGTGTTCCATATGCCCTGGGATATCACAGAATAGTGGGGATTGGAAGAGACCTCTGGAGATCATCTAGCCCACCCCTTGCTAAAGCAATTTCCCTGGGTTGCATAGCAAAGTGTCCAGGTGGATTTTGAATACCTCCAGGGAAGGAGACTGCACAGGCTCTCTGGACAGCCTCTGACATTGCTGTCACTCACACAGTAAAGAAGATCCAGTCTTTCCGTGTTCCAGTTTGTGCCTTGTCCTTACTGGGCACCACCAAAAAGAACCTGGCCTCATCCATGTAATACCCTTTATTTAGAAGCATTGATAAAATTCCTCCAAGCCTTCTCTTGTCCAGGCTGAACAGCCCCAGGACTCTCAGCTTTTCCTCAAAAGGGAGATGCCCCAGGCTCTTCACCATTTCTGTAGCTGTAAAATGCACAGTAGTCCCTAAAGTAAATACGAGCTACCAAGGATGTTGGGCTATAGAGAAACCTTAGCCCTTCATGGAGATCAAGGCGTTCTCTCCCAGTAACTCTGACACCAGTTGCCATGTTGAGCAATGTAGACCCTTCTTCTGTGCTTGTTTACTGGGATGGTTTCTGTTCTCAGAGTCCCCTAATACATTTGAGGCAGAAGCACAGGTTAAACAGATCAGAGAACAGCTTTCAAGGGCCAAACTGGCAAAGAATCCAACTTCTACAGGGCTTTTGTATTCTGCTGAGTTGGGAATGACCTGATGGGACCAGGGCCAATGCAAGGTAGAGACTGGAATGATGCAACCTCTAAACCTTCCACTGTGAGCAGTTGGTTCAGCTCAGTTAATTCACCCCAAAGTCAATGTTTAGATGTTGTCCTGAGGGGACATGGTTTAGTGGGGGTAGGTGAATGGTTGGGCTGGATGATCTTGGAGGTCTTTCCCAGCCTTGGTGATTCTGTGATTCTATGAACTAGCACAGCATAGAAAGGTTTGTCTTTGAAAAGTCTCACCTTGAAAAGCAGAGTGTAATCGCCAATGTCAGGTGTGTTATTTTGGCACAAACCACCAACGGTGAAGACAAGGATGAGAATGAAGGGAGATATCTGAGGTTTGTGTTTGAGTAAAGGTGCAATCGAGGGAGAAGGGATGTTTTTAATTCTGTGTGCAGCCTTCATGAGGCTGGCATTGGAATGCTATGTGCAGCACTGAGTGCATTTGTCAAAGGGCTTTAGAAGAACTGGGAAAGAAAGCCATAAGCATGATTATGGAACTGAGGAATATGCCTTGGAGGGAAAGGTGTAGGAGGCTCGATGTGTTCAGCTTATCAGAAAAGAGGATTAAGAGATAAATTGATTACAGTCCCTCTCATCAGGAAGAAGGGCTTAGTTCTGCATCTCAGAGGGAGGCGTAGGAGAAACTGAGGTGTGATGCTGACGCCAGGTAGATAGAAGATGGAAATGATCACAAGCTTTAAAAATGGGTGTGCTGCTCTTTGGGTATCTTCAAAACCAAACTGTTTTTTCTTTAACTGCTGTGTGGTGCTTTAATGCACCCTCCTGGGATCAGGAGGAGTATGATCTAAACGTGCTGTGCTCTAAACTGGCTGCTGCAGGTCAGACAGAAGACCCAGTGCTCCTTTGAGATACAGATTCGTGAAATTGGCTCTGCAGGATTTCGGCTGAGCTGGGAGACATGAGTTGTTCTCTGTGCTCGTAACCACACGGTGGCATCGTTGTACCACATGAAGTCCTTTTTTTCTTGGGTGGGAAAAAGAAAGGGAGAGAATTTTATTGGCGTGGTAGGAAATATTTTAAGTTATGGAAAATTAGGCTTTGGATGATTTCTAATATGAAATAGCAAACTCTGCTTGCAGTGAGCATCTCCTCTATGAAAACAGGCTGAGGGAGCTGGGCTTGTTCAGCCTGGAGAAGAGCGGGGTGACCTCATGGCAGCCTTCAGTACCTAAAGGGAGCCTACAGAGGGGAGGGGAATCAACTCTTTATAAGGGTAGATAACAGCAGGACAAGGGGAAATGGTTTGAAGTTGAGTGAGGGAAGATTTAGGTTGGATGCCAGGGAGAAGTTCTATACAGAGAGAATGGTGAGGTGCTGGAACAGCTGCCCAGAGAGGCTGTGGATGCCCCGTCCATCCCTGGAGGTGTTCAAGGCCAGGATGGGGCCCTGGGCAGCCTGGGCTGGTATGAAATGGGGAGGTTGGTGGCCCTGCCTGTGGTGGGGGGTTGGAGCTTCATGATCCTTGAGGT